CTTTTCAGTGTCTTGTCAGAAACAACCAGCCTTGAAGGTAATTAAACTCTCATTTATATTTTGAACTAGTAACTGGATAGTCTATGAGATATACTTTATTGATTATTTTGTTTCAAATTCCATTCAGGCTACAAGTGACAAGGAAGATTCTGTTTCAAATATAGCCACAGAAATAAAGGATGCACAAATATCTGGGACAGGTAATTTTGCAAAACACATTCAATGTGATGTTCTATAAAGACAGAAGAGAATTTCCCTTCCCCAAATAAATCAGCCAGGGGTTCGTCGAAGCTTCACGTTCTGATTCAGCATGCCTGAGATTCTTCATTTATAGTAAGTTATCAGATGACCCCGATGCTGCTGGTCTTCGGCCATGATCTGAGTGCTAAGATTATAGATGTCTCTACTTGGAAATTGTGAAGAAGAACCATTGGAGAGCAGTTCAACTCATACCAGGCTCAGGGGACAGCATCATTTTGCTTTAATTCTACAGCATGTTTTCCATCAAGAGGGGAAGGAGAAAGAGATGAAGTAATAGATATTATAGGGGTCAGATCGTATTGCTATAAACAGAGGGAAAAGTGATCCAAATACCCCGTAAACACTGTAGAATGAGAACTAACCAGACCACTGATGTAGCAATTATTTTCCTCCAGGATGAGGGGTTGTGAGGCAGGAAGGAGGGAAAAGAAGAAGTTATTGATGTAATTTTGGAGTTTCTGCTGAGGAAACCTGAGTAAACTTACTTCCGATGCATTTGGAATATTTGCATAAAAGAAGATTTGATTTTGGCTGCTGCAGGAGCTACTGGAAGCAGGAAATAATGCTAGAATTGGAATAAACCACATTGACTTGTTACTCCTCTTTGGTACTATTAGGCATCGGAGATACGTGTTTTGTTGATTTTAGTCGTAAAAATGAGATAAACTTGAATATGCATACATTGGCTTCGCTGTTCAGGGAGCTAACTCTTGGATAAAATAGCTATTTAATGAAACTTGTTTAGAGAATAGCGTGATACTCCCAACAATAATATTTTAGAAACAAAAATTATGATGAATTCAAATTAACTCCTAAAATTATCATTTTCAATGAATATTAGAGTGATTTCTGAATGTAAACCTTATTAATATCTAATGCTTGTAGCCATTTTAACTTTGTAGAAGCATGTCAAAAATGATAATTGATGATATTTCTATTAAGGCTAATATATTATCCTTTGTTGCCATGAGTGGATGAAGAAACTTTTGCAACTAGCTAAACTAGCAGATACAGGAAACTTAGGCAAATTATTACACCACACGGGAGTGAGTAATAATGAAAATTATCTACTAGGTTTCAGCAAACATATATCCAAGCTGATCAATTTAGGACACTTCCACTGAAGAGACGTGAAGTGTACATTCAACCAAAGTGTCGTTGTAATTATGTACCTTCCTAGTTATTGGGCAAGTTAAAGATCATGATGAATGTTGTACTATAATGGTGTAAATCTTTCTAATTTCTTGTATGAAAGACGTGCGGAATCATGTACCACCTGCTTTGACATTGATTCTCAGGTGTATAAGTTGCTCCACTGATTTTAGGTCACATTTGTCCTCATCATTTGGCATATCCACATTGATACTGACATGGTTTTATTTTAGTTTTTGACATATGACAAATCATACCATGTTTGAAATTCTAAGTGTACATTTCATGAAGCCTGTATTCCCTTTTTTCAGTGTATTTCTGTCATGTTCCGGTCCCCATAGACAAAGTAGAAAATACGAAAGCCTACACTAATACTGGCAGGAGGATACAGTTTGTTGCTAACAGTGCATGAATGTATTGATAACTTTATCATATTCAGATATGAGTGATTATGTATCCATTTTTCTTTTCAGTGTCTTCTCAGAAACAACCACCCTTGAAGGTAATTAAATTTTCATTTATATTTTGTATTTTGTAGTAGGAAGTGTATATTCTATGAAGCTTACTTTATTTATTGATTATTTTGTTTCAAATTCCATTCAGGCTACAAGTGACAAGAAAGATTCTGTTTCGAATATAGTCACAGAAATAAAGGATGAACAACAATCTGGGACAGGTAATATTGCAAACCATATTTAATGTCGTGTTCAATCAAGATAGAAAAGAACTTCTTTTCCCCAAATAAATCAGCGGGGTGCTCGTCAAAGCTGCACATTCTGATTCAGCAGGCCTTAGATTCATTTGTAATAAGTTCTCGGGTGATGCTGTTGGTGCTGGTCTTGGACATGATCTTCGCAGTAAGATTATAGACTTCCTTACACTGAAATCGGGAAGAAGAAACACTGGAGAGCCGCCCAGGACATAAGGGCTCAGGGGACAGCATAATGTTGCTTCACTTCTACAGCATGTTTTCCCCAAGGTGGAAGGAGAAAAGGATGAAGTTTAGATTTT